TTTTAATTTTGTAAATTTAATATGATGTGAAATTTACAATATTAATCATTTGTCAACAGTTAGAGAGAAGCTGGAACTTATTTAAGAAATGCTGGAAATTAACTTTTAGTTAAGGTAAAAATAATTTTGTTTATTGGAAGCATAATAAAACCAGTTATTGTTATTTATTGCATGAGTTTTTTACTTTTTCTAAGATGCTGTTTTTAAAACACTTCCTCTCTCTCTTAGATGAGACTTAAATAAGAATTAGTATTGAGAATTGTAGAGGGAGAATTGATTAAACTCTGTAATTACTGAGCTCTGATTAAACTCTGTAATTACTAAGTTCTTGCGTATTTTTTAATACTGCGATTGATAATTTGCTATTTAAAGATATAATTCTTTAAATTGTCCCTTGGTTGTTCAAGTACTGTAATAAATAAAATCTTTTTAGTTTCAAGTATTTTCTCTTAGGGATCGTCTATATATTACGTAACGCGAAATTAAACAAAGAAACATCTCAAAAACCGTGTTTCTCTAATGGTCAACTATATGCTGCATTTTCAAGAACTATAGCATTTAATAGTTTGTTTTTCAAAATTGATAAACATCTTATTTAAGGTATAGTAGGTAAAAAAATGTAACATAAATATTGTTATATTTTTTAATGTTCTTAATTTATAGTCTTTATATTTTCATTTCGAAAATTTATTGTTAAACGTTGTGAGCACATTTTGTATGTATAACTTTACTTATCATTATTTATTTTTTTTCATTGTTTTTGGTAAATATATCTATCATTCAATAGTTGTAAAATGTGTTTATACGTGTTACATAAAGTCATATTCGTTTATAGTTGTATATATGTTTAAATTATAAAAGCCAAAACATCAATTTATATCTTAGTTTGATTTTTTTTTTAGTATTCCTAAGTACTTTTAGTATTGCTTTGGTACTTCGAAACAGGTTTTATAGTTACATTTTCGATAAATCTTTAACTGCAATTTCAAAATAGGTTACTATAAATAGGTAAACCGATTTTTGGTAATTGTGTGGTGTTTTTTTTTTTTTTTTTTTTTTTTTTTTGTAATTATGATATCTTAATTTCATTACTTTTTTTATTTTAGAACTACGTTATGACGCATTTATAAGATTTATAAAATAAAATAACCTGATTTCTTTTTATTGTAAATTTTTGTTAGTTAAAAAGATATAAATATATGCTATTAGTTAATTTTATATTTTATCTTTTTTATGCCTAATAATTTGTTGTACGTATTTTAAGGGGATCTTTGTAAATGGGGGGTCATAACTAAAAAGCTTTAAATATGGAGAAAAAATATGAAGAATATTTTAGTTTTGCGCATTAATATCGAGTTACTTAAGTTTTATTTATGTGTTTAACTAATTAGTTAGCTTAGTCTGTATTTGCAACACTTTTGAGGAAAGAAAGAAAACATTCTTATATATGTAGATCATTGTTTTACATTTTATTATTTTATTTTATTCACCTGGCCACCATTAAAGCAAAAAGAGGGAAGGAACCTCTTTATTAGAGTCAAAATATTTAGGAAAATTAAATTTCGAGTTACAAAAGGAATTTTTAGTAAATGGTGGCAAATTACCGTTCACTAAAAATTAATGAAATAAAGAGGACAAACAAATAATATAGAAATGGTCTGTGTTGAACAGACTTAACAAGACCCGATACCGGATCAGCTTGGTTTACAAATTTTTATGTCTACTTATCTCTTATAATTTTTTTTTTAGGTTTGTCATATGATGCATCAATGCATTAAAAAATTTGTTATACCCATGTTTGATCGTTAATTAAATTTTTTTTGTTTGAAAGGTATTAGTACTCAGTTGCGTAGTTATTTATAATAAACTTTGTTATTTTTTATAAATTTATTTAAATGTGTGCATTTAACATTTTTAAGTTAACAATTTTCTTTTCTAAAGAACAATTAATCAAGGAGATACCAAAAAATTGATAACTCCTGTATAATATAAGTTAACTTTATTTTAATCTTAATGGTTCGTGTTATAAAAATTATTACAAGGATTTAGTTAACACTTTCGTCAATTTAAAGCATGACGAAGTGTTATTATTTTGTGTCAGTAACTAAAAACGTATTGTGTTAAACTTAGGAAGGTCGATGAAAATGGTTCTGCGTTACACTGTTATGACATATGCCATTTGTAAATTACTTAAATGATGTTAAGTAGTAATTGTAAATGTTAAGTAGTAGTTGGTAAATTATTTTACCTCATACTTTTTATGTTAATTTTACAGATGGATTAATTTTTTCAAGCTGAAGGCGATTTTCTAAAAGGGTATTAGTTAAGGTTTTGCAACATTAAATTGTGGAAAACAGCCACTATAAATTAATTATGTAACAGACCGACCAAAACCCGTATTACGGGTTGCTTTTTGCTAGTAATTTATTATTATTTAATTAAAAATTTCTTATAAATTAAAAGAAAACACTTAAAAAGTAGGGAACCCAGAAAAAAGCAGTTTAAAAATTTTTAGTTTAGTGGTACCATAAATGCCCATATAAAACTTATTATTAATAAGTTAGGCTTATACATTACATTTAGGGTAAGGTTGCTAATATTATACCCTCTAATAATAAAATCAAAAATAGAGAAAAAAATACAAAGTAGAAACAATGAGACTTTATTACATTTTATAATTTCGGGATAAAATGTTCTAAAAAAGTTGAAATATGTCAAAATTTAAACGTTGCTATTTGATATGAAACTAAATTTAAAAAAATATGCTACCGGTATAATTAAGGAAACCAGATCCTAAATCGTACTATTATAATCCAATATTTTACTTATATCTTTATTTTACAAATACTATATTAATTTACAGTACATTTTGAATGAATTTTGTAAAGATTTTTTTCTGCTTAAAATGTAAAATGTTTTGTATTTAAAAAAGTTTAATAAGTTTTATTTAACAAGAATTTAACAAATTTTAAAAGTTTTCAAAACAATCGGCAATCGCCGATGGCCGATACCGATGCATCGGCTAAATGACCGATACATCGGCAGGCCGATGTCAATGTCGATGCATTGGTGCACCCTTAATTTAAATGCAGACAAAAATACCTTCACTACTGCTAGTGGTGTAAGTATTTATGTCCGCAAATTAGTAAATTTTATTTTACGTAATGAGCTCGGTAATAATAAACAGTCTTTGTGAATAAAAAATTAAGCCAATCTTTGTGAATTGAAACAATTAACAAAACAACAAAAATGATTATTTCTATTTACTGACAACCAGCTGGAAGTTTAAAAAAATTTTAAACGATAGCAGGAAAAAATTCCCTGTGAAACAATTGTATTTTTACAGCGCATAAATTTAACGACATATCAATATAACAGCTGTTAATAATATAAATACATACCGTAAATTTACATACCGTCATATTTTGTCCCAAATTTTATGCATGTTCAATGTTTGTGGTTATCTCTCATATTTATGTCAATGTAAAAAACGTTGTTGTTGCTAATTTATGGACTTATCAATTAATAAAAATGATTGTAGAGAAAAAATGTTTGGGTGGAGTTTGGTCCCCCTTTTATTGGAGGGTTAAGGTTGGGTTTAAGTAGCCTCTGTTGTGGGGTTACTTGAACCCATAATTTAAAAATTGTTTTTTCAGTTTTTATTAAATGTCACAAAAATACTATACAAAGAAAAAAAAATTTAAACGAAATAATACTGAAAATAATGTTAAAGTAAAATAAGATCTGGTTTACTGTTGTTGAGCATATTTAGTAATTGTGCAATTGGTATACTGTTGTTGAGATATTTAGTAATTGTGCAATTATGTCCAGCTCTGCATTTTTAAAAGACATCTGTTAGCAAAACACTAGTAGTTCCTTTAGTTATTCTTGAAGCATCTATTTTATTGACATCTTCTGACCCTATACTTTTTCCTGGTGGAACATTTTTCTTTTCAGACGCTTCGTAGTTGAAGTATCAGCAGTTCTTGATCTTCTCAAAAAGTCAAGAAATGATTGATTGACATTCTCATTCAATTTTCTTGAGGAAATCAATCATTTGTGGAGATGTTTTCAACACTTCTTGTTGGTTGTGCTGTCTTTCTGAAACCAGACATTGTATTTTATGCACAATTTGTTTGAATTGGTTTATGAAGGCGACTTAATAGAGAAGGGAAAGTGTCTTTATTAGGCGTGGTTGCACATTTTCTAGGACCCGCTTTCCATTTTGATAATATTTTTCTCCACAACATCTTCATCAGAATGAAAATTCTGATGAAGATGTTGAATTCATAATACAACATATCATATTAGGGGGATCAATATTTTTTTAAGGTTACCATTTATTTAGGTACCCAGGAGATAAAATATTTTTTTTAAATTATATGTTTTTTCCTAATAATTATAGTTTAATAATTTTTTTGGGGGAGGGGGGTTTAGGCTCCCTATAAATAAATAAATAAAGTAATATATGTATATATATATATATATATATTACTTTATTTATTTGCTGTTTACCGCACGTCGAACTTCTGCCAGTTTTTTACTGCATGATTACAAAAATTAAATAATAAGTTGTTATTGAAAGAGTTAGGGTCAGTTCAGTTAGATAAAATTTTAAACCTTTCTAAACACTCGAATAATCTGCATTACTTAAACCTATAAAAACGTCAAGATCTTTTGTACTCGCTGTCTTCTGCGCGGTGGCTATTTTTAAAAAAATGCGCGGTGGCTATTTTTAAAAAAATGCGCGGTGGCTATTTTTAAAAAAATGCGCGGTGGCTATTTTTGCGACAATTAGAAAAAACTTAAAATACAGTAAAATTGACTTCAAAGTTGTATTATGAATTCACACTTCTTCTAAAGTAAACTAAGCAATATATTAGAAGCTTCGCGTCTCATAATAACACTCAATATGAAAAAAAAGGTTAGTAATAAAAAGAAAATCACGTCTGAGCTACGAAACACTTATTGAATCGGGCGCAGTAAAGACATTTGATATTTTTTCGATTATGGAGGATATATTACTTCCGTTGTAAATATTTTTACAAAATATTACAATACTATTACAATAAATTAAATTGACGTCACATTAATTTTAAAAATAGCAACGCAAGGTGTATGTACTTTTTTTTGTACTTTTATTTTATTTCTAGACTGCTCAGCACATAGGCTTAAGTTAGTGCAACGATTCTTTATAGATTTCCAAACAAAAAATGACCAGCATCTCTTAGTGTTGCAGCGTGTCAGCAACAATTATAATATGAAACTAATGTATTTATTGAATACAATAAATTAGCAATTGTCGTACAATACAATCCAGTAGGATAGTTGAAGACATTGTGAAAATAAACACATTGGGTTGAAGAAGCACTCTCTCCTTGATAACATGGAGGATTTTGGCATGTGTCTTGACCATTATCAGATGAGCATTTTGCTATCATTATAGAAGCTAATTGCATCACATTTAATGTGCAAGGATTATACCGATTAACAAAGCTTTGATTGTTTGAGTTTGTGTCTTGAACAACTTCTTGAGAAAATATTTCTTTATTATCAACTTGGACAAAAGTTATAACAAAAGTGAAGAAAAAAGATCGTACAACCGTAAACTTGAACTAAAATGTAGTCAGAACAAAAATTATTTTTTAATTAACTAATAGTTAACATGAGCAAAAAAATAAAATAAAAAATATACAAGGATATAACTAACAAAAGGATTTAATAAACAAATACTTATACCAAAAAGTATATTAATATATATATATATATATATATATATATATATATATATATATATATATATATATATATATATATATATACATATATATATATATATATATATATATATATATATATATATATATATATATATATATATATATATATATACATTTATATATATATATATATATATATATATATATATATATATATATATATATATATATATATACATTTATATATATATATATATATATATATATATATATATATATATATATATATATATATATATATATATATATATATATATATAAAATTCAAACTTTTTTATATAAGAAAAGTCAACAAAAGTGTATGCTAATATCTAACTTACGCAAGTATCTAACTTTCCTCAAATTATGTTATGTTAACAACGTACTAAATCATATATTAAGCTTTTTAATATTACTTTCACTTAAAAATTGCATTGCGGCAACGTTTCCTTAAGATTTAATCTGTAGCACTTAATTCAGTTTGATAAAGTTTTTATTGTTTTAAAATTTTACCTAATCAATAAATGAGTGGTTAGCACGCAAGGCTATAATGTAGGAGGTCCAGGTTAGATTCCTACATTATTATTTTTTTTTTTTTTTTAGATATATGTTTTTCAATTTTTCTAAAATTCAAAGTAAAACGCTATTGAAGAAAAAAGTTTGTTTCAAAAGAAAGTTGCTTTAATTTGCATTTTAAATAAATATTAAAAAAAAAAAGCAAGATGATGATTTGAACTTGCCAAGCGGCGACAATTAATTTTTTACACAGTACAGGGGGTCTAAAAAATGTTTTTATTAAAAACATAATTAAATTTTCTAATTTTATATTTAAAATAAACCATTTTGTTACATTTATAATTTCTAAAAATAGTAAAAAGTTAAAATACATAAAAATAGGCTAATAAAGAAGTTTAAAGTTGTACAGCTATTTTACCTCGCCCCCGTTAAACATTCTGAACCGAAACATTGGTAGAGCCCTTTAACTGATAATGCACGAGGCATTGTTTATGTACACGCTGTTAATTTTTCGTATTTCCTTTTTTAATTTTATAAATTTCTGAAATATCTTTGAATCTTCTTTTACCATTATCATACACGGTATAATTGAATATACTTTGATTTATAAATAGTATGTGTTTTTTAACTTTTTAATCAGTTTTCAAAGTTACTAAAGTTTAATTTTTTAATGTTTTACTTATCGAAACATGTTGTGTTTTGAAGGTGATTTGTTGAAAATCAGCCTTGACAAGCCGATAGTTTTATAGTATTAAAGATGACCTTATTTTTAATATAAGTAAGTTGTTTTTATTTTAATTGGTTATGAATAATTTTATTTTAGATGTTAGATAGGGTAAAGCAGGTAGGATTCTTACACTTTTTACACTAAGTCATATAAAAATAATTGCTATTTTAAAATATGTTTAAAGCTGCTTAGTAACCTAAATATCTGACTTTAATAATAATGTAGTTTAGTTTTGAAAAAAGCTAACAAAGCGGTACTATAATAACTTTTGCAAAAAAATGGAGATTGTATGAATGCACCCCACATGCGGGGTAGCTTCGTTCAGTTATTTGTTCGGTACTTTATTATAAAGTTAAAAGTATTTATTGAAAATAAAAATTTATTAAGATTAAAATTGAAACAAAATAATTATTAAATATAATAAAAATAAATTATAAACCCTATCTGCTAAGAATACATACTTTATCGAAAACTTTTCTAGGTTCTCATAGAAATCAGTTACGGCTGTCTGTTTAAATGCGAAAGAACGTGCTACGCAGGTTTTTTCATAAGTATTTACAGTACGAATCCTCCATATTTATTACAGTACGAATTAACCCCAATTATAACAACTAACATATAAATTCAAAATAAAAGTTACGGGTAAAGTTATTAGAAAACTCGTACTGTAGACATATGCCTACTGTACGAATGCTCCCGCTATACGAATCCTACCTGCTCTCCCCTATTCAATCGTGTTTTATATGAATCTATTAATTTAGTACAGTGGTATTTTCTGGTGGTGATATTCAGGTTAGATTTTATAAAGTTCAATTTACTTTTAAAGAACCTCAGAAACTTACTTCTTAAAAAATTTACATTTGCTTTTTTTTTTTACTTTTTAATTCAACAGATTTTTTTGTATTTAAAATCGAATAAAAATATTTTGCTTGTTATTTATATATTTATACTTTTATAGTTATATATGTTTTTATATATATATATTTATATTTATATATTATATTTTTATAGTTATATATTTTGGTCTACTTTTTTGTTTTTTATTTTTTATATACATGTTTATGTTTATAGAAGTTTATTCCTACTTTCTTTTATTTATTGTTCTTATACTTTTTACTTTTTAATTTATATGTTGGTTTACTCTTGTATAAAAATCTGATGAGAAGATCCTCTTGATTTTTCTTCAGACACAGATTGTTTGCCTTGCAATTTTGTAAAAATTTATTAATTATTTTTGTTATCTTATGTTTTTAAAATGCTTTTTTAATGTTCTGACGACAAGATCTTTGCGATCTTCTTTCAGATACCTTGTTTATGTTTGTTATGTTTTATGTCATTGTAAGTTTATATTATTATTTTTATTATGGGTTATTTAAAGCTGTACGACGAATAACACATGTATACCAAAAAAAAAAAAAAAAAAATAGTTTTAGTGTCACAGCTGTAGGTTTAAACCTTCAGTATGTGATACTGCAGGTTTTAATTAGAAATTAAAACCTGCAGTATCACATATTGTAGTTTTTAATTTCTAATTTGTTATTATCTTAAAAATTAATTTAGAAAAAAATTAATATTCTTTAATATGATTGTATTATTCTATTTTTTGAGATATTTTACTAATAGTTTGATTTCTTTAAATTAATTAATTATTTTTCAATTTGATTACCTGTATGTTTTTGTTATTTACTATAGCCAATAAAGTTCTAGCAATCCCATCAATAATAGATGCTGTACCACCCTAATCTCTTAGTGGTAAATAAAGGATTATTATAATTAGATATAGATAGATATATAGACATAGATATAGATCTAGTCTGATATTTTCAAATTATGTGTGTTTTTTTTTTATTATTATTAAACTTCTTCACTTCCAACAAGGTTGCAAGCAACCACTATTAGAGTTAGAAGTGCTGGAAACAAGGTTGCAAGCAACCACTATTAGAGTTAGAAGTACTGGAAACAAGGTTGCAAGCAACCACTATTAGAGTTAGAAGTACTGGAAAATAAACGATAAAGTTAATAAACCAAGATAATGACTAACAGACAGCTTAAAATGTTACAAATTATATAAATTAGGAATAAGAAGTGAGCTTATTCCAAGGAACCAATAGTTGAGAAAAAAAATCTTGACAAAAAAGAATTTTAGGAGTACTTGGTAAATAACCAATCAAAATAACTGTCAAAAAAAATAAAAATAAATAAACTGACAGTTAATAATAATTATAATAATTAACTGACAGTAAAATTAAATAGATAAGTTTATACCATATTGTGAATATAATTAACTGACAGTAAAATTAAATAGATAAGTTTATACCATATTGTGAATATAATTAACTGACAGTAAAATTAAATAGATAAGTTTATACCATATTGTGAAGTTTCTTTATTAAGTGAGGGACTTTCCCATTTAATGGAGGACTTCCTTTATTTTTAATTTGTGTTTCAAAAGAATCACAGTTAGTCAAATTTTTGCAATTAACAGATAAATTTAATTGTTTAAATATATGAGATTGTTTATCACTTTTAAGGTGCTCATTTATTCTAGTTGCCAAATGTCTGGAGGTTTCTCCTATATAACTGGCATTACAGCCAGCGCAAGAAAATTTATAGACAACATTAGATTTAAGCAGTTTAGGAAGTGAGTCTTTTAAGCAAAAACAATATTGTATTTTACTAGTGATAATTAATTTTATTAGAACATCCTTACAATATTTATGAACAATTATAGGTGATTCATGGAGTACATTACCGATTATAGGAAGAGTATTATAGTTTAGTACGAAGCTAAAATATCATTTAGCTATCTCAATTGTTACTTTTTTTTATTTTTTTTTATATTTATCTTATGAAACTTTAGTATGTCATTGAGAATTTAATAACGGCCCACGTCCTTTTGTGTTCTTAGGGTGTGGGCCTAGAATAGGGGTAAAAATATCCCCTCATTTCATTAAAAGAGAAGAGATTACCCGCACCGAAAGTGGAGTGGGAGGAGTTAAGTAAGCAGGGGAAAATACATTACTATATCAACAAATAGAAAATGTAGTTAAGTGTTTTTAGTTTAATATATATACTTTTATTAACTTTGTTTGTTTCATTTTATTTGTAAATAATAAGTAAACAAATTTGTAAAAAAAAAAAAAATACCCGTTTTGTTTCTTTTTTTTAATATTAACATATGTTTATAAAAAAATGTTGTTAAAAAAATATACATTCTGTTTCTACACTGAACACCTTCGAAATTTTAGACAGCAAAACATGCAAAATATTAAAAAGATTTGTTGCTGTGACAATGTCTATGATTCTCCATGTCAGAATAATATTTTATTTTCAGTTAATATTTTTTGAATTCAGTTAATAATTTTCATAATAATCATTGAATCTAATAAGTATATACAAAAAATTCGTAGGAATAGGACTAAAAAATTAATTTTTTACTATGTATCTTCTTTATTTATATAGAAGCAGATAAGGATAGATTTATGTATCCTAATCTGGCTCATAAAAACACTAATGTTTTTAAATTAGGGTAGTATTTTTTCAAGGTAAGAATTAATTTATTTTTTGATTAAATTACAAAATTTGTTTACATTGATAAGTTTGTGTTTTTGCT